ATGCCATGCCTGCGTGCGCTCCTGCACCGCCCTGGCGCGACTGCGCAGCTGCCGGCAAGGTAGCTGTGCCTGCGGGCTGGCCTCGGCACAGCTGCGCCCACCCGGTGTGTTCGCAACGTTTGGTTTGGCACGCGCGTGAGCGCCGCTTGCAACGGATTGTTCCAACCATAAACCACAGTTTTTAGAATTTCACCAATCAGCAGTGGTTCGATCCTCGACCTCACCAGCGAACGGCTGAGTGTACAATGCTATTGCGAAGCTGGTCTTTGCCTCGCACACGAAAAGTAGGGGTAAGCGACGAAGGGGCCCGGGTGTAATAAATCAATTGCATGCTTATGGCACAGCGAGTGCTAGGGCGGCCGCGGTTGTGGTACGGCACCTGCCGTACTACCTGGGTAGTACCTACCGCGCTGTCAGCCGCGCAAGGAAACGACACGCGCTCAGCTTGCCCAAATGGACCTGCTGCCGGCAAAGACAAGGGACAGCAGCGACGCCACACCGAATGGATGAAGCTGTGGCTGGTTGCAAACCGCCACGCCACGAGGCACTCCTAAGCCCTGTTGCGGGGCAGTGCCGGTGCCCGCTATTGCCAGCCGGGCGCGGTCTGGGCAACGTCCGCCAGCCGCATGCGTTCACCCACAAAACGCTGTGTATGATGTTGGATTTGTGGTGGCTGGGGCCTGGCGTGGTTTAATGCTCTGGGAAGTCAGGCAATCCAGCTGTACTGGGTACTGCCCCTGGGGCACCGCCCGTCCGCCCCAGCAGAGTTAGCAGGGCGCCCGGCTGCCCGCAACGGCAACAGCAGGGCCGCCAAGTGACACATGCGAGCCTGGACGCTGCGTGCAGTTGGACGCGCAGCGATGCAGCCTGAGCGCTGGGCGGCAGACGCTGGGTGGTGACGTGAAGACTCTTTACTGTTCTGTCCGAGAAACAGCTTTGGTTTGACCCGCGGCTGGTTGACAGGCAGGATTCAAGCGGGAAAACTTCCCAAGCAAACGATGAAGTCAATCAGCGCCCCTTGTGCATGGAAGGTGAGGGGAAGTGTGTTGCAAGCCGACAAGTTGCACCGTGCTGCGACGGCAGGTGTGCAGAAAAGCAGGCGAGGATGCGAAGCCCCGCCTTGCTTAAGGCCCCTGTTTGAAGCGGGGGTCACTCGTCGCTGCGAGGAGTGTCGTGTTGCATGCATGAAGGGGGACACGAGGACAGCCAGGCTTGACGTGACGGGCAGGGTGGCCATAACCCAATGGATGATGCGTGGATACGACACCGGGGAGGTGGTGAGATGTGTGCGTGCATTCGTGCGTCCGTGCGCGGTTGCGCCAAGTGTCAGTCTGTATGCGCAGTGTGCCTGTGTGAGCGTTTGCACGGGTGGTCACCTGCCGTGACTGCCCAGCAACTATCAAACCCCGACCCTCACTGCACGACGGACCACAAAAAGGGCGTGGGCAGTGGTTGAAATGTGTGTGCGATTTGCAGCCCGACAGCCAGTCACCCGCACTCAAGTCAACAGCCCACTTGTAGCTCGCGCGGCATCATGATGAATTGAAGGCCCCCGCGCCTGATGCGCAGGTCAAGCAGTGATAGATGGGATCACGGCCCCGGATCGCCATGAGAGGGGTTGATGCGCAGCGGCAGACGGCTGAGCCCATCGTGGCGTCCTGGTGGCGCGCGTGCCGCCACTTGCTGCGCGGGCGCTTGTGTGAACGTAGGCACCGTCGGTATCAATGAAGGGTTGTTCCCTGGCCCCGGCCTGGATACACATTGGCCCAAACACACACACCCGAATGGTCCGGGTCTGCACAAGCCCGTGTGGGCGCGCCTGTAGCGGCGGCCGTCACGCAATGATTGGGGCAGGCAGGTCCCTGCGCCGCTGCGGAGCGGGCGCGGGGCGCCACGGCGCCCGATGGCGCTGCAGCATTGGCTCGCACGGGGGCAAGACCAGGCAGCGTGCTTTGTCACCCGCCCGGATGCGTGCGGTACATGAGCAGCTGGCACACCCTCGCACGCTTGCCGGCCAATAACAAAGACGAACAAATACGAACAGGGTTTCCACACGTTTCCATGTGACGGCCCACGACTCCCACAGGCCCAAGTCGCGATCGCGAGCAACGCCAGATCCCAGATCATACGCTGACGTCACTCCCCGTCGCCGGCGCCCGCCACGTAGTCCGCCGTGCCGCCGACGACCGCGCCAGCCCCCTGCTCCTCTGCCGTCTCCCCGACCTTAGTTTTGTCGCTGCCGTCCCTCCGCTGCTGCTTCGACTTCTCGCCCTTCTTGTCGGCCTTGCCGCTGCTTTGAGTCGTTGCGTCGAGGCCCACGCCTCCGTTTGCCTCCTCCAAATCGCGGGCTGCGAAATCCTTTTCCTCCGCAGCGCGCACGATGCTGAATTGGAGGGGGCGAGGGAGGTTGCGTGCTGTTGCAGCGAGGCCCTTACTGCTCATTAGCTGGGTTCTTGCAGCAAGCAGCGCAACGGCACATGCGCCCGGCGCGGCCGCAGTGCGGCAGCGGGTTTGAAGCGCGCCCCGCGCGAGCCTCGCGGGGCACGCCGAGAGCACACCGAGCAGTAATGATTGGGGCCGGCAGTTTGACAGAGTGAGCTCTCACGTGATGTATGTGTTGATGGCGTGGTATGTGTCTGCCACAATGCTGTCCAGAGGGATGTCTGCGGATGCAGGGTCAGGGGGTCGAGGGGGTGGTGAAGATCTTCAGGGTGGCGGAAGGTTGGGGGATGCGATGATGTTTGGGCGGCACCGTCAGAGCGGCGTGTAGGCAGGGTAGGCATGGGGGGTTACTCTGGGTTCAGGTTCAGATTTGAAGAAGGGGCGTGGCAGGGTTTTGGGTGTCATACTGGGAAAGTGACCAAATGGGGATGAAATATTTGAACAAAGGTATTCAGGGCCCGGATCGAGGTCCAGGTAATCAGGGAGTGATAGCAGTGGCAAAAGTGGGCGAGGGAAGGGGCTGCCCATGGGATGTTGGGATTTAGGCTCCGGCTTGCAGACAGCTGAGGGACGTGAAGCGCATCGAGGCGAGGCCGGCGCCGACTGAGCCAGGCACTGGGGGTGGTAAGCCTGCAGATATAAGGCCGACAGGCAGCGCGTCCCAATGGCGGATGCTTCAAAGACAAGCAGCGTCGCCACCAGAACAGCATTTGCCGGCCGGCCTGGGCTGTCAAGGCGTATGTGGCACGCCCTTGCTCAACATCTGGGCTCCTTTGCCCAATGATCGCCAGGAGACTAGCAGCCGCAGGGTGCAGAGGTGGCGCCCGCCTGCCCAACGGCCCGGGTTCCCCACAAGCGCAGCATGCGAGCACTGGGCTGGCACTCGCACGCCTGCCGCGCCGCGCACCATTGAAGTCGCGCCCGAAGGGCTGCTCCACCTCCGCGGCCGCCTCCTCCACCCCTATGATGCCATAGCCGATGACGAGGCACAGGGGGATGGTGTACCACTGGTAGTAGATCACGTAAACCTGCGGCAGGGGTGATGATTTCATGGTAAGTATGGGTGTACTGTATGATTCATGCGTTAAGAAACAGTTGGTGGGTCACATTCAGCAGGAATTGTGGGGTGCGATTCAGACTGCCTGGCTGCCCGCAGTTTGGTGAGGAGCGCTGCGACTGCTTTGCTGCATGCCAAGCGTTCATCACAGGGTTTGGCAGTCGTGTGAGCCACTGCCTGGGGGGCCATGAGCATAGGGAGTCTCAAGCCTTGTGGCGACAGGGCCGGCAGGGAGCCGGGTAGCCGCACTAGGCACGCACGCCTTGCAGGGCGGGCGCTGGCACCGGCGGTACCCGTGGCCGCGGCGCTCACCCATGGAACGCAGGCCAGCCACAACGCCAGGAAGGTCCGCAGATGGGCGATGTACTGTTGGATTGACGCAGAGGAGGCAAAGGGCGGAGAGAGGCAATCAGAAGGAACGGCTTTGGCGTTGGCACTAGCTGACCAGCCTCGTCTATGCTGCCGTGGGAGGTGTGGTTTTTGCGGGGCTGAGTGCCGCTCTAGTTAGTGGATCCCAACGCGGGTTCAAACCAAGCAACCCTCTGCTGCCAAGCGCTAAGGGTGTGTAAGTGCGTGTGTTTGGCTCACCCACAATCAGAGTTGCATCGCATGCACGCTCATGTGTGGGTGCATGTCAGAGTGTGCGTGTGTGCAAATGCGTGTGCGGGCGCACGCACCCACGCGCATGCGCGCGTATGTATGTGCGCACGCCCGCTCACGCGTGGGTGCTTGCGTAAGCTGTAAGCTGTAGAAAATAAAACGCTCACCGCGAAGGGGATGGGTGTGCTGTAGACGTTGATGCACGCACAGAACTGTGTTGAGGTGGAGTTGTGTATGCATGGCGGCACTGCATTAACTGGCGTTGCGGCAGTACAGACACCTGGGCCCTCAAAGCCAAGAGGCCAGCTGCCTGCCACCGACCTGGTGCTTGAAGGGCGAACCCCCCACCCCCCTCAATCCCAGGGCTCCACCACACACAGTGGCAAAGAGGATCGTGACAACGCCCACCAAGTTCACACCCATTTTCTCGCCCACCTCCATGTACATCGTGTCGCACGATCGCATCCACTCGTTGCACTTGTTCACCACGTACTTCCGGTCCATGTCCAGGACCTTGTACATGCAGTACAGCACCTGGTGACACCGATGATGGTTGACGCCATATGATGACCGGACCAACAAAATGCAGACGAGGGCGATGCGCTTTCAGAGGGGCTTACGTGGGTCGCAAGGGGGGGTGCAGCATCCTTGAAAAGCGCCGGGTGCAAAAATTCACGCCCAACTTCACGCCTCCTCACCGGGTCCCTGTCAGCGTGGAGCACCTCGACCTCCTCTGGTGGCAGCAGGTCCAGGAGGTTCTGCTGGTTCCGCTCGTCGCGCAGGTGCTGCCGCCCCATCTGTTTGCAGTTGAGGTTGACCAAGCACGCAATGCGTACTGGTCAGACGGACAAATTTGAGCATTGTTCCTACTGATGCCTCATCCAGGGGCACCTGCAGTGCTGATTGCAGCAACAGTACCCCCGACCTTGGAGCCTTCCGAGCTACTGTGACTGCCAAGCCCGCACTGCCGGCGCGCATACACAAACGCACGCCCGCGCACACACACACACAACTGCGGGGCGCAATCACAAGCATTACACCTTCTTAAGCTATGCATGTGAGTGCTCACCTCCAGCGCGACCATTATCCAGTTGAGCCGCTCCAGCACCAGATCATACGCCACCTCCCTGCCCCCCACCGCAATGTAGCTCGACAGGTTGCCAGCAATCACGCGCGCCAGGTTCTTGCCCTGGCAGGGCACCGCCGAGTGCACAATCGGAGCAGATTGGGAGCGTGAGGCGGGGGGGGGGCGGGGGCTGCATGGCGGCATGCTTACGTACGTGGCTGGTACTGACCTTGCCACGCTTCACCAAGCCAAATCAGCCCTCGCTAGGCTCGGTTGCTCGTCGCAAGGGAAACCTTGCGGCGGTGGCGGTTGCTGCGGCAGCTGCTGCTGTGTGCGGCCTCACCAGGTGGCAGAAGTTTTTGAAGCGGTCGGTGCCCGTCTGCCACCGAGTGAACGCCGCGTTGTTCCTGCAAGGAGAGGTTTGCAGCAGGCGAGTGGCTGCAATACTAGGCTGCAACACTAGCTGCATGTAGGCAATTGGTACGGCAAAACACTAAGCCGAAAAGGCACTCATGGTCTAATTAGACGGCTTTTCTGGCAGCAATTGGGCAACCTGCTGCCTCTGCTGCTGCTGATGCTGCTGCTGCTACTGCCCTGCTGCTGCTACTGCCCTGCTGCTGCGACTTCCCTCCTGCTGCTGCTGCTGCTGCTGCTGCTGCTGCTGCTGCTGCTGCTGCTGCTGCTGCTGCTGCTGCTGCTGCTGCTGCTGCTACCCTGATGGTGCCGCTGTCTGCAAGCGTTTGTCCTTAGGGGCTCCAGTCAAAGTGTGGTCCCCACTCTGCCGACAGCTGCCGCTCGGCGCCGGCGTCGCCGGCGCTGCTGCAGCCACAGTCACAGCAAACAGCTGCAGTTTGCTTGCGTTCGATGCCCTGCCCCTCGCAATGCCGCTGCACACGCTGCTGCGGCATGCATGCAGCTGCCACCCTGAGGCGGTGAGCACAGCACGCTAAACGGCTCGAGCGCGCGAGCACTCGCCACACCTGAACGAGAGCAGCAGGAACAGCGCCACCCCTATGGTTGTTGTGACCGATGACAGCTGGCGCAATTTGTCATCCTGATTGAGAGGTGACATGGGGAGGGAGGTGTGGCAGTGGCGAGGCGGCTTCCCCGTGCCGGCGGTAGCCGGCGGGCGGCCCTTCAACCAATCAGCAGGTGGCGCGTTGACGGGCACAGCGGCGCAGCTTGCGCGAGCGTAGGAGGCGTGCGCCCAGCTGCCACTCGAACCCCTTCTTTCGCACCGCTGGCCCCGCCGGCGCGCGCACCATCACGCCGCCGACAATAAGGGTATTGAGTCCGCAGACGGCGCACGTGTAGACTCCATACACCAGCAGCGGCAGAAACGGCACTGCTCGCCCGCGCAGGCTGCACAGCGACACCTGCGCGCGGAGGGGCAGTTGGGTGGGCAACGTCGGCGCCGCAGTGCAGCATCGCTGCAGGCTCCGACACTCGGCGCCCATGGGCGCTGGCGCGCCGGTGAAGCGGAGCGGGGGGGAAAGCGGGGCCAGAAGGCTCGACTCCGCAAAAGCTGGGGTGTGCCGCACTGCCCCACCTTCCAGTACGAATTGCGGAAGCAGAGCCAGCCGGGCTTCTGCCTCTCTTCGAGCAGCAGAAGTGTGCCCTGCGGCGCGCATCGCATGAGCACGGGCGCTTGAGGCGGCGTGCATGTGAGCTGGCTGGGAGGAGAATGAGGGTGAGGCGGCGAGTTTGTTGGCGCCACGTGCGGGGTGCGGGGCTGGGGAGGCCTGCACCACACGCGTCTCTGGGGCTGTCGGTGTTTGTCGGGGGTGACCGCGGTGCGGCGGGTCTTGGTTGGGCAAGGGCCGCGGCGGCCTCTCAAGACGCAGCTGCAGGGCTGGCGCAACAGCCAAGCTGGGTGGACCCTGATGCAGCCGGGGCCCTGGCCAGCGACCACCAGGAGGCAGGTGCACCAGCAGACAGGCTAGTGCAACTCTACAACATGAGCTGCTGTATCTATGGCGAGCATTGCGCCACGCCCGAACAGCTGGCGGCTGCTGCTGCGGGCAGCTCAGTTCCTTGGGGGCTTCTGCCTTGCAGCGGCTCGGCGGGCATGGCGGCATCACTTGCCACGACGGTTGGCTGCGGTCGACGCGCATGCCGTTCCAACATGTTCGATGCACCCAAAGTTGACCCCTGCTTCTGGCCAGCGCTCTCGACAGCGGCCCCCGCCAACGCGCCCAGCCAAAGCACCAGCACTCTGTGCAGTGAGTGCAGCGGGAACGAGGACGCCGCCCGCACCTCTCCGCCCCCTTCGATTCGTGTGAGGTGCGCTAGTCTCCGATTAATGGTGACGCTCCTTTCCGTTTTGTATTGCTTCACCATGGCGCGGCGAAGGACTCACGAAGTGCCGGTGACCCGCTGCACGAGCGATCCACTGGCCCTACAGAGCCTGAGATTATGAGATAAGCAAGCGTTACTTGCTGTTGGAGCGATTACACCGGCCCGAGCATACAGACGGCCTACAGTCTTAGGTTCGCGCCAGGCTGAAACGCTGCAACAGGGAGATTCAAATGGCATTAATGCACTTCAAGCTCAGAGGTGGGTTGCGAAGGTCATTCGCCGAAAGAGGGCCGACACACCCGGTCACCGTCAGGGGCAGCCTCGTCCTTCGCGAATCGCTGGATGTAGGCTGGACACGCCCAGTAGTGCTGCTTGTAGGGCTCACCAAATATGACTTGCCAGATAGATTGCGTGTGAGCAGTGTGCATGGTGCAACGTGACAGGCATGTAGCCAATTCTGTATCATAAGCCAGGCTAGGTGACGACACAACTGAACAACATCACCGCTGGCAGCATATCTGCTGGCACCAGACAGGGAGGAGCGGCACGAAATTCCCCAGGGACCGGCACTTCTGCTTGTTGCGAGCGCGAGGCCGCAAGGCATCGGGTCCGATCGCCGGATGGTACTACCTGTATACAGCCACCCAGGCTGCCCACACGGAGCAGTTCACACTGCAATGCGTGGTATTGGCAGCAAGCTGGCCAGCTGCATTAAAGCCACCGGCAAGAGCTATTTGCTGTATGGTAAATGCCAAAGCTAGTCGGACAGGCGTGGGGGTTTCAGGGGCAGGCTGCCTTTCGGGGCGCCTGGTGCACTGTCGCGAGCAAGCGGGCCTCAGTGGCAGCGGGTTGCCCAGGGGGCGCGGGCTCTCAGAGATGACCGAGGAGGCCCAGAGTGTGCCTGTAGCAGTTTGCGACGAATGCGCGCATCCAGGAGCGGATGCACCATGTCAATCTTGGAGGAACCTCCTAGGTGTCATGCCCCCTCGCTGATACGGATCCATGACACACGCGTGTCTGAGCACGCGTGCACATGCACATACACACGCATGAGCGCGAGCGCACATGCCGAAAAACAGCCTGTCAGGTGCCGATGGCATCACCAAGGATTGATAACACTGCTGTATTACAATGCTCGCTAAAGCTCGATTTGGACACTTGTGCAGAGATGAATTGCACACGCCAACAAACTCGCCGGACCCACCCGACACACACATCACGCGCGGCTGCCGCCCTCAAGCAAACGCTGTAAATGGCCAGATGCAGCTGGAGCGTAGCCACCGCGTCCACCACACCGTCACGCCAAAAGCCTTCCAACGACTCTCTAGCACAACACGATGCTTCAAAACGCGCAAACTGCACATGAGCAAGACACTGTTGCGTCGCCTCACAGCCCGAGATCCGCACATTCCCGTCATCCCTGGCCCGTCGCCGCGTCGCACTCGGGGATGGGCCCCTTGTAGAACTGCAGCAGCGGCAGTTGCGCCTTCAGCAGCGACAACTCCTCTGTGGCGGCCAGCGGCTCAACACAACTCCCATCTTTGAGCGTCATGCCACAGGGGGCCGTCATCACAAGCCGCGTCAGCCGCGTGAGTGCTGACAGCCTTGGAAGGTCCCCTGAACGGTACACGGCGCGGTTGGCCGTGTCGAGCGACAGATCCTCAAGCCGCGAGAGGGCGGACGCCAGCTTCAGGGCGGCTTCCGTCTCGTCACCTGCCCCTAGGTGCAGCTTTCTCAACGCCCGAAACGGCTGACCCGCGACCCCCCGCGCAGCTGCCATGCCTGCAGGGTGCGGCTGCGGCGCTAACCCCTCCGGTGGCGCGCCGCAGCGCCACAGCTGCAGTGAGGTCAGGGCGCCTCCCAGCAGCTGGCCGTCCGCCAGGGCCCACCAGCCGGCGCTGTCCAGCTCCAGCTGATCCAAAGCCAGGTGTTCCAGCGGCGGCAGCGCCGCCACCACAGTCGCGGCCGCTCGCCTCTCCGCTGCACCCTCCGCGGCCGCCCCGGCCGCCGCCTCCGCGCCACTGCTGCGGCCGGCGCCGTCGGCAGGACTTGCGGTTTCAGGTCCCAGCCGACCGGCCGGTGACGTCACCACAGCAGCAGCTGCCGCCAGCTGTCTGGCCAGCCCCTGCCTTGAGAGATCTGAGAGATCAATCGAAACGCTCCTACCCAGCTCCAGCCGCCGCAGCCGTGCGAAGCCGAGCAGCCACGACCAGTGGACTTGGATGGCATTCACGCCGGCGCATCGGATCTGTAGATTCGTGAGAGATCCGGCTGCCGACGACTCTGCGAAGCTGTTGAGGGCGCGCCACGCCTGAGCAGGGTTTTGAGGCAGGGGTGGACCCGGGCAATCACGTGAAGGGGCAGCAGCAGGGTCCAAATCGTGGCAGCTTACCTAGACTCGCCTCAAAACACACCCTGCGGTGTCAACCGGAGTGCTGAGCCGAGGCGAGATGTTTTGCACGCATGCCGGCGATCGCCCTCGCGGCAAGCCGGCTCGGCAGTGAGCGCACCTGCAGCGCGTCTTCTGCGACGTCGCCAGTCCACAGGTCAACCGAGAGCGACTCGAGGCCGGAAATGCAGCCGATCTCGCTCAGGCCTGCCGGGCTCACGCCTGGTCCCCTAGTCGGGTCCGCCTCGCGCGCCACCACCTGGCGCAGCCTGGGCAGGCGGCTGAGCAGTGCCACGCCAGATATTGCGCCGTCGCGGGGCGCGTCCGGGCCGGCGCCAGTGCCGCCGAGCGCGGCGGGCATGAGGGCCAGACGCCGCAGCCGCGGGCCGCAGCCCGCGCACGCAAGCGCGGCCGCGGCGGCGCGCGCGACGGGCGCCGCACAGAGTGCCTCGGCGCCGTCCATGCTAGGTCTCCGGCACTCGGCGAGCCGACGCTGGAAGTAGACCGAGATGTCCTGGACCCATTCTATATCTAGAGACTCCAGCAGCGGCTTGGTCGACGCCAGGGTGGTGAACAGGCGGCCCAAGGAAGCTTCCGAGGGCGGCTTTGAAAAAACAAGCCACAGCTTGACCACCGCACGCTGCGCCGCAGGGCACACGCGCGCGAGGCCGGCGGCGGCGGCCGATCCGCCGCTCTCGAACAAGCGCGCATCGACGCACACGGCGTCAAACGCGCCGGCGAGCGCGTCGGCGAGCGGGCGGCAAGTCTCTCTCAGCGACACGCGAGACTGGGTGGGGAGCGCGCGGCCAATCATACAGAGGACGCTATGCGGCAGCGACTCCAGGGTGCAACCGTGGGGCTCTTCCCCGGGCGGCGCACCGCCTGCATCGACGCCCTGGTCCTGCAGGAAGGCGAGGCGACGGCTGATCACTTGCGTGCAAAACGGATGAATGCCGCCGCTCTTGTCCATGCAGGCGGCGAATCATGGGAAGCACGTGCGCCTGCAGGGAAGCGGCGAGCAAGCGCGTGTGTGCTCACAGAGCACTTCGCCCACCTGCAGTCGTGGCACAACCTGCGACATACTGACGCTTATGACGAGTGACACGACAGATCAAGAATAATGTGGGCAAGATTGGAGCAAGGTTCTCGCCGCTTTGTTGCTGATTTGCGATTTGCCATCGACGTGGTTGAAATGGAAGAAGTAGATGAACTCTACTCAACTTGAAATGCGCAACACGAAGTCCCTGTGTGCTTGCAATCAGGTACGGCATGCCACGTCTTCGCCAAGTCATCCGTCACCCCGTCACCCGCGGCGCCCGCCAAAAGTGCTGCGTCATACACAGGCTCTTGCTGCAGGGGTGGTTTAGCAAATGCAGACATAAAACGGATGCAGGATCTGGACCATCACAACATCGGTGTGCAAAGCTGCAGCTCCGAGGTGAATGCCAACCGGCATGCACCAGCAGAGGCGCGGCAAAGGCCACCCGGTTACTCCGCTGCATCAAGAGCCAATGTACCACGGAGTTGACGTACAGGCTTGCTGCCGCGCCAGCAGTCTAGGAATGGGGGGCTAACAGCCCAACACACATGCAACGGAAGCCGCCAAATCGAGGATGAATTGGAGACGCCTGATCGGCACAGCGTTGTTGTGCATCACGTTTGCTCAGCAGCCCACCGCACCGAGCTTTGTGCACCCCTTGCAAGGTGTCATCGGCAGGCTTGATAAAATCAGCAATAACCCTAACATAGCAACATTGCCTGCGGCACACACCAGTTTCAGATGCGCATGCGATGTGGGGGGTGCTGTGGGGGGGTGCGCGGGGGCGGGGCAGAGGCACAAGGACCGCCAGTTTGCACTTGCGTGAGCGCTCCAGACAAGTTCAAATACAAACGCCACAATCAGACACACGCACACATGCGCACATGAACACACACACACACACGCACACATACGCACACGCGCGCACGTGCGCACAGACACACGCTGACAACCCATTCTTTGACAAGCCCTTCCCGTTTTATACCACCGCAGCGCCGCGTAAGGATCATACGCACCGCAGAACCTTTCCCACAGTATACTGTATCAACTCATTTTGCAGGTTGCACCTAAGCACGACGCTGCGGCACAGCATGGTAACTCACACTGATGATCACTCTTAGGCGGCCGACAGCAGGAGGGCAACTCGCAACAATCTCCTTCCAAGACCACTGGCCATCCAATCTGAACAGTTCATGGGCCAAGGGGCAGTGGGTGAGCACGGTTGCGTGCTCACCCACACCATCACAGCGCTTCTATCATATTCAAACCCTGCAGTCCTGATTGTGCTCAATTCAATTCCGTGTTCACCACAAACTACCTATCTATGTCGATTTCCAGTTGCGTGAATCGTGATGAGGTATTATGATGTTATTGTAGAGTGTAACAGACTGCTACATGACGTGCAGCATGCATTTGTTGACATCATGGACAGTTCACGCTTGCACTGCAGCTGCTGGTCTGCAGCCAATCTGCCATTAACGTGAGACCGAGATTCGCTCTGTGTCTTCAAAACTGTGGGTATTGCAACAACAAATTTGACAATATGCGCGCGCGTACATACACACGCATGCGAGCACACATCAATTACAACCTACTAACAGCATGGCGGATGGTATCACCAAGCATTCTGATTATGTACATGTTGAAAACATTGCTGGCCAAAGCTCTATTTGAGCATTGATTGGAAAACATGCACACACCGACTCAGCGCAGACCTACCCCAATCACACATCACGCGCGATCGCCGGCGTCCGTCGATTGCTGTCAATGGTAAGGTGCAGGGAGAGCGTGGCAATGGCAACTGCCTCCACCACTCCGCCACGCTAGAAGGCTTCCCACGCCGATTTTCATGCAATACACCGCCTTTAGCCGCTCAACTCAGCATCGGCACGCAGCCGCTGCGTCGCCTCACGGCCAGTGGTTGCGAATTTCCGTCATGCCTGCGCCGCGGTCCCGCCGCCCCTGGGGACTGGCCCCGTGTAGGACTGCAGCAGCGGCAGTTGCGCCCTCAGCAGCGACAACTCGTCCGTGGCTGCGGGGGGCCCGTGAATGTCTGGCTCAACACAACGCCCGTCTCTAAGCGTCGTGCGATACGGGGGTGCCATCACAAGCCGCGTCAGCCGAGTGAGGGCCGACAGCCTTTGGAGGTCGTTCGAAACGAACGCGGCGTCGCCAGCGGTGTGGAGTGACAGATCCTCGAGGCGTGGGAGGGCAGACACCAGCTTCAAGGCAGCTTCCGTCTCGTCGCCTGTCCCCAGGTCCAGCTTCATCAGGGCGGGGAACGGCAGCCCCGCAGGGTCCCGCGCAGCCGCCGGGCCTGGAGGGTACGATTGTGGCACACACCCCACCGGGGGCGCACCGCAGCGCCACAGGTGCAGGGAGGTCAGAGTGCGTCCGAGCAGCTGGCTGTCCGCCAGGGCGCGCCAGCTGGCGCAGTCCAGCTCCGCCTGGTCCAAAGCAAGGTGTTCCAGCGGCGGCAGCGCCGCCGCCGCCTTAGTTGTGGCCGCTCGCCCCTCCGCCGCCCCGTCCGCAGCCGCCAAGGCCGCCACCTCTGCGCCGCTGCTGCGGAACGCCCGATCAGCAAGACCTGGGGTTCTAGGTCCCAGCCGGCTGCCCGATGACGTCACCGCTGCAGCAGCCACCGCCAGCTCTTCGCCCAGCCCCTGCCTTGTGAGCTCTGCCAGGTCAATCGAGGCGCCCCTGCCCAGCTCAAGCCGCCGCAGCCGTGGGAAGCCCAGCAGCCACGACCAGTGGACTTGGATCGCGTTCATGCCGGCGCATCGGATCTGAAGATCTGTGAGAGACCTGGCTGCCGCTGATGACGCGAAGCTATTGACGCCCTGCCATGCCTGTGCAGGGTGTTGAGCGAGGGGTGAACCCCTGGGGTCAGGTGGCCGGGCTGCAGCAGGGTCAGTCGATGCCGGGGCTTGTGTTGCCTCGCCTCAGAACACGCCCTGGCGCAACCAAGGTGCCAAGCCGAGGCGAACATAGTGCGAGCGTGCTGACAAGCGCTTCGCCCAGCCAGATTGACAGCGACCACACCTGCAGCGCGCATTGCGAGTCATCGCCGGTCCACAGGTCAACCGTGAGCGACTCGAGGCCGGAAATGCAGCCGAGCTCGCTCAGGCCTGCCGGGCTCACGCCTGGTCCGGCAGTCGGGTCAAAAAACTCGCGCGCCACCACCTGGCGCAGGCCGGCCAGGCGCCTGAGCGGCGCGACGCCGTCCGCCGCGCTAGCCCCGCGCTCGTCCGGGCCGCCGCAAGCGCCGCCGAGCGCGGCGGGCGGCAGGGCCAGGCGCCGTAGGCGAAAACCGCGCGGGCGAGCGCGGCCGCGGCGACGCGCCCGGCCGGCGCCGCGAAGGTCGCCTTGGCGCTGGCCATGCCTGGTAGCAGGCGCGCGGCGAGCCGATGCTGGTAACTTGGCAGGTTGCGCTGTTGCCATTCTATATCCAGAAACTCCAGGCACGGCTTGGTCGACGCCAGGGTGGTGAAGAGAAGGTCCATGGAAGCTTCTGAGGGCGGTACTGAGTCACCTGTGTAATCAAGCCAGAGCTTGACCACCGCCAGCCGCGCAGCAGGGAATGCGCGCGCGAGGCTGGCGGCGGCGGCCGCGCCGCCGCTCTCGAACGCGTGCACGCGGACGCAAACGGCGTCGAACGCGCCGGCGAGCGCCGCGGCGAGTGCGCGGCATGTCTCGCGCAGCGCCACGCGCCGCTCGATGGCGAGCTTGCGGGCGGTGGCACAGAGGACGCTATGCGGCAGGGCCTCGAGCGGGCTCGAGCACTGCTCTTCCGCAGGCGGCGCATGGCCCCAGTCGACGCCCTGGTAATGCAGAGGGCCAAGAATTCGGCTGACCAATCGCGTGCGTGATGGCTGAGGGGCGCCGCTCGTGTCCATGCAGCAGGCAAACTATGAAGCACATGCGCCTGCAGGAAGCGGCGCGCGAGCGTGCGTGTTCTTGTGGAGCACTCCGCTCACCTGCGGTTGTAGCAAATCTTTGGACATCTTGACTTTGTTGACAATTGGCACCACGGGGCGAGGTCGGAAGGGGCGAGAACGGTGAGACACGAGCTTGCCCGCTTTATTCTGCTGACGGTGCGATCTGCCCTGGATGTGCTTGCGTTGTACAGGTGCGTGCATTGCAAATGAATGAGATCGTATTTTTTGAGCTTTCGATGTGCCTGTGACCCGGTGCGGCACGATGTGTCGACCAAGGCAAACATGAGCTGAAGGGCCGTTCCCTCTGACACCAGCTCGAGCTGTTGCCACCGTCGACACAGGTGCCGCATTATGCACGTGCCTGTTGCTGCAGGGGTGTTTTGCCATGTTGGTTGTGCGCTTCCAAGAATATCAGCATCCTGAATCAACGCAAAATCATGTGTGCAAAGGTCCGTGGTGGCTGCCACCTCGTGTACTCACATACACCGCCACAGGCGGTGGTTGGCCCAAGGCAACCAGATGACCCATCTGCAGCATGAGCCCCCGTACCATGGGTTGACAGACAGGCTTGTTGCCGGAGCCAGAAGCCCTCATGAAGGGGCCCTACACACACACGCAACAGCAACTGCCGCATCCAGGATGTTGACGTTTCAGCGGCTCATTGGTGTGTGTCAAGTTTAATCAGCAGCCCGAGCGTGGTGCATTCCTTACAAAGTACATTCAACAGACTTGATGACACAGACACCGATTTGCAACACAGCAAGTTGTCAGCCGCGTACAACACTTGCGAATGTGCCTGCGCCCCAACTGCAGGGGTGCTGCAAGAGGGGGGAGGCTCTACAAGGGCCGGTCTGCCCTCGCCTGCCCGAGCGCTCCGCACAAGTCCCACTCACACGCGCCAACAAACAACATCACGCGCGGATGCGCGCGCGTGCACACACACACACACACACACGCACGCACGCACGCACACGCACACACACACACACACACACACACACACACACACGCACGCACGCAGATACGCACGCACGCAC